CCCAAAAGGGTGGAATGATAGACAGTGTTTTCTTGGTCGGAAGATGGCGTGGGTTATTACCGCGGACTCATGCCTTGGGAATGGGAACGAATGGGAAGATGTGGTGTAGGTCTGCATACTGCGTATTAAGGTCGACACGATGTCTAACACTACTCCTCCTGTAGTATCAAGCCTTACAAACGTTTGTTGGTAAGAGGCGGGTAAATAACTTTCCTGACATTCTGCCTGCAAGGGATATTCCCTTAACAGACTCATTCTCCTACTCCTCTTCTGCTGTGGGATCTTTGATTCGAGGGCGTTTTTCGATAGGGTGTACTTAGGACGTCAACATTTTTTTAGCTTTCTCGATATGATTTCAGACGTCCCCGACATCTAAAAACTTTTGAGTCGCTTCCGTGTCGTCACCTCTGTCGATTGGTTTGGGACCGACAAATCCCACGCTGCTTTTAAGGGCGCCTATTGCATTTGAACAGCGGTTTTAACAAGCTGGATCCCACATAAAGAGGCTTGCTGGCTGTCATTTCAAAGGTAGGAGTAACTAATCACACGTCTCGTGTTCAGAATGGATTGTTAGATCACCCTCTACTCCGACTCCAGAGTTCTCATGTTACCTTTTCCAGCCTGAAAAATTTGATACCTGCATACGTCGGATGTCGGAACGTCGCATGGAATTGATGGCTTTTCAGGAATCATGGACCTGCAGAAACATGCCTGCCGAAAAAACCGAACTTCCTAATATTCTCTGTCCATTGCTCAATGCCGTATTCGTGGCTGTTCTTCGGCGATTGCACACAGCCTTTTTCTACGTGGACTACGAGGCAGATCGGGCGATTGCAGAGCTGGCAATAAAATATCAGTGTCCTGCAATGAGTGCAGACTCAGACTTCTTTATTTTTACCGATTACTGGGGAGACTGTGGTGGTTATTGCTGTATTCAGCCCATCCCATTTAATGCCTCACCCAAAGCTTTCGAAAACAAGGTATGTGAGGCATGTGCCCTAGGGGACTTTTCACGGCAGAATCAGAGAACTTATTGCTACTACCTCGAGGCAAAGTGTTTTACGCCCGATCAAGGAGCCTTTTCAAGGTTAGCAGCTCCCCTCAGACCGGTATTTGCTGTGCTCTGGGGCAATGACTATGTTCCATCTGGATACTTTTATTCCTGCCTTCCAGACTGGATAACACGCAAAGTGGACTCAGGCCGCAAGTTTGGTCGGCAGAAAATGATGGAGAACCTGATTGAGTGGTTATCCAGTTTCGGATCCAGTTTGCAGAAACCTATCTCGTATGTTCTTTCAAGATTCCCGCCAAATGAGAAGCTAGAGGCCGAAGAGGCATTTTACAAGGGCCTCAGTCTATACTCCGTCGACTTGAAAAGTGCACTTGAACGCTACGGAAAGTACATAGGGCTTGCTGCTCCTACCACCAGGACAGATAGGTCGCGCACTGCAGGAAGCACCACAAGGACATCATACGGTGAACGAGCCCGGCAAGTTCTGCTGGGGCAGGGAAATCATGTGATCCGGGAACTGACCGAAAACTGGCCCACAGCACTGGTCGAATATTTTAGAACCCATCCGACCTTCGGGCTGTTCAATCCAGTCTACAGCTTTGACCATTTATGTGGCAGTGGAGTGCAGGACATGAGACAGCCGGAACCACCTGATATATGCTCAAGAAACCTCCGCCAACTCCTCTACAGTGTCCTCTTTCACATAGAAGGAAATAATAGGCGAGACCTTCATGGTGTACGGGGCACCAGCTCAAATCCCCATGTTTTTGAAACTAAGATCAATGAGCAAATGGAGATAGAAGTGACTACCGTGAAGCTGCTCAAATTAACGGTTACAACACCAAGGCGGTTGCTAAGGATGTGTTTTGGACTTCCATGCAACATGCCCGATACTCCGGAGTGGCTTCATGGATTGGCTTGCGCCTGTTTCATTGTTCTGCAGTCAAATCAAAAGAAGCAGCAACAGGAGTCTGGTGGGGAACCAATAACTATGTCTTCCTCACCAACAGTCCTCGCAACTCTAGCATTCAGCCTCGTCGCCTTCGCACTTCAGGGAGAGGAGACCCCACAAGGACCGTCAACTGAAGAAGTCCTTCTGGGTGATCGCATTTCACAAGGACTTGGTCTGCTGGACTGTCCAGACTCGGCCGAGGCCTGCCTGAACTTCGAGTACGTTCACACCTACGCCCAACTGCAGATAGCGTACTCGACACTAGTCACGCTAGGTGGCGTCTTGACAGCAACCATGCCCTCAAAGGAACATGTAGATTTGGGCTCACTTAACGAAGTCAGTTTCTGTTTTCCATCTGGACGCCTGGTTCACAGACTGGCGGTTCGACTGGGTCTTCTCCCTCAATGTGAGCGACAGAAGGAAGTCTGTGAAGTAATCTTTCCCCGATTGTTGGAGGCAAACCCCATGAAGAAAGACAGTCCACCCTGCCTGACGCAGAATGCTCTGTGCCAGCTGACATCAAATTACGCACGGATTATCACGTTTGTGGATAATTTGCTTGCAGGCCGGAAATAAGGTGTCCGATTGCTCCCAGTGTGTGTGTGTGTGCGTACGTGGTTAGAGACCATGATGTTTTTATTTGTGTTTCTAGCAGTCCAAGTTTAGACCTTAGCCACTCGTAAAACAGACCGTATATTCGTTCCTAGATAGGAAACTATCAAGGTTTCCTACCTCATTAATAACAAGGTAATATTGAGATGTTTTTTTATGGTGAAATTCCCGTCCGACTTGCTAGACATATCCTTTTTAATAATACATCTGAAGATTCAGAGCTTAGCTCCTAGAGACAACGTGTCAGCCTAATAGGCTCATTATTGTCTTCTTTGTGATAATAGTCAGCTCGAAGTGTGATCAGTAGTGAGTGACAATACTCACTTCCAGTGGGATGTTTATTTATGGCCTAACGCTCAGCACACAGTTGTTTGCGAATAACGTCGCGGACCCCGACCATATTCGCCTTCGTCTTTTCTTAAATGCGTCGAATCAGGGTAGCTTCCCGCCAGTTTCGTAGTTTTTTCCAAAGCCAAACTGGTTCTCACAATAGGTGCCATGCGACATGGCGGAGAATGTGAGACTGAAGGGAGTGGGGGCGAATAAACAGTTGCGCTTACCTACATTCGCTATCGCAAAGGCCTCCAGTACCGCCCACAATGATTCTGACAAGCACCTCCGCTCCATCTACATAGGCTACGCCGACAACCAAATCCCGACATGGTCTTGCGGAAACCACAGAGGTGGTTAGGAGGCTAGTTCAGATGTCTTAATGTCTTTCCTGTGACCGGTGAGCCATTAAGATTATGTCGGTGGTTCAGTTTTGTTTACCGAATCTGAATTATGTCTTCGGAAGGAATCCTGCCTCAGCTGTCTGTTCAAGGAAATGGGTAGTAAGTGGTCAAATATCTTATCTGGGAAGAGAGGTATCTCAACGGCAGCCGCTTACGATTGCGTTTTCATAAATGAACGACCGTTTTATCCTTGAATTTCCACGGAAGTTTTTTGCCGCCTCGGTTGCTGAAATAATGTACCAGGGCTTCCCATGACTTGAGAGTCGCCATTTCTGCAGAATTAAACTGGAACTGAGTCTGTGACCATCCTTTCCCCACGAGGCGTCTGCTGTGCAGTTTTGATAACCTCCCAAAGGAGGTTCACGCTGGTCTCTTTTTAAGGGAGACTGCTGAAGGATTCGTCGAATATTGTAGACATTTTGTTTAGGGTATCTCTCGAAAGCTCGGTTCAACTCTCTTGAATGCATGATTGGTCTGTCCAAATCGGCTACTCCGTCCGAGTTGAGCAGCGAGGAACTTCTGATGGAGTCAGAAGCCGTAAACTACTTCTACTGCCGCTAAGAGACCGTTTGCATTACCACAGTCTAGAAATCCCTGGATTTCTTTAGCATTGCTTATCACCCGAAGACTCTACCTCGCACCCAACCTCTGTAAAATTGCACATCGACATCGGAAAATGCGATTATATTGCTGTCAGTCTTGCTTTTGACATAGGTTAAGCATAACCTGTTATCCGCAAAGGGCAGACACCGAGTTTTGTCGCCAAACTGCTTTCGTCAGACTAGTCTCGATGCAGCCGGCGAGTATATATAAGGACTCCCCATATCGATTTTTTGATTACACCTGGTCTCAACTGTAGTACCGTCCCATACCGCTATGACTAGACTTTTTCCCAGACTCTTTCGAACCGTCGCTAAAATTTAATCGACGTTCAGCAGTAGATGCATCATTTAAGCTACCTGGTGCACTCTCATCTTGAGACTGATTGCAATGATGGAGTTGCAGCCAGACCCCAAAGTTGACAAGATTCAGCATTGTAACTAACACACCACCCCAGTTAAGCTTCCCGATAGGAACGAAGAGCAGTTGTTGCAGGCGACACAAGCGAGGGTACATCTGAGTGGTCATGTACTCCTTTAAAGGGCGGGAGAAGATAAGGTGAATTTTGGTGCTGACCTCGGGGAGGAGGAGGCCATTGGTGTTGCTACTGTCCATCCCGTGACTGATTTACCCTCACGCCTTAAAGGTAGTGTGATCTGGGACCGCGCAAGCTTTGAAGTTGTCCATGTCAATCAGTTTCCACATCCTCGACACAGTCGCGAGGACGGTACGCAGACGACCCCTCACTTTAAGGTCGCGTGATCCACGCTACGCAACCCTTGGAGTCGTCAAAGGCAGTTAATTTACACACCTTCAGTACAACCACAAGGACGTTGGATAGATACTCAGAGGATTTGTGTTCCAAATCGCTACTGGGTGTTTGAAGGTGGTTACCACAGCCACGAGTGTCGCCCCATTGAGAAGGAGTTTCATATCCATGAGTGCCTCCTATACCGTACGGAATGAGAAATAAACCTCACACGATGTTATCGGCGATGGTGAATGTGACTCTAGCTTGTATCCTGGCCGCCGTCTGATGTCTTCACTGAAAGATGGTGTGTTCCGCATTTAACCCATCCACTCGTCCCTCCTTAGAGAAGTAGGTCTCACTGGGAGTCGTGACGTTTATCTTGTATCAACTCGATTCGCAGGCGCCCAAATCTACCCTACTGTCTGTTTGGCTAACCATTATAAAGTTAAGAATGGGAAAAACATCCCTGGCTACCAGTAAGCAGAGTCCCTCTGGCAGGCGTTGAGAGACAAGCGGATGGGGACTATGTTGTGGTTGACATTTCAAGTGGTTTTCGACCGTAATTTTCAGAATTGGTAAACCACAGACAGCTTTAAAACAGCGTGATTGATAGCACCTTTAAAGCACGTTTCCCAGCTGCTTGCCCGAGAAGGAGCGAAAAATGTTTCTTTAAATAGGGATGCCAAACTTCGATGTTAAGTACAATGCCAGCATATTTGGCAGACAACCCGAATTAGTTTGGGTCGCCGAAAGGATTACGTCTCTACATCTGGGCAGAAAGTTTCCATTTCGTTGGAGAGATATTGAGGGGAGTTTTGCGTTGAGATACGAACACACGCCGGATACCCTCACATGGTCTCCCGCGCGGTTACCATTGCGTGGCCGCCGTTTTGAGCCCCAGTCTGTGGAGCGACAGGTAAGGACTGGGTGCTGGGAGGAATCGAAGTAAAACTAATCAGCTGGAATCCATTATGTACCAAAATGCTCTTCAGGGGGTTTCATCTGACTGTCTTCTCGGGACGGGTCAGACGCAGTTGCCAAGCTTTGTGGTTATGATCTAACTAAGGAAACTGACACTTGCAAAAAGGAGCCTGTGCGTGTGAGAGAGTTGAGCACATGTTGCGATCATCACAAACAAAAAACTTCAGAAGAAGATGTGATCACTTGAATGAGAAGTTAACAAGCCAGAAGTTTCGGATTCTCACTCTAACCCATCAACAGAGACCGTCGTATATAGGGGTGATAGGGGGAGAAAAACACGTTATACCCAGTCAGTCCCCTTCGCTGTTGTATTAATTTTTTCCTTATTAAACTTTTAAGTCACTGGGCCGTAATGCTATTTGAAATAGTTGAGAAGTAGTTGACTTGGTAATACGGCAGGGTTTAGTCATCCTATATAATGTTCGATCAGTCCTTTCCAGCCCGCCTGAGTGAAATCCAGAAATGAAGCTTTCATTACTAGCAAAATGGAATAAACCTTTGCATTTTAATCTGACGAAAATCAATAGAGAGTTAAAGACCCGGAATGGCTACTCATGTAGTATGCAGTATTCGATATAACCGAACTGGCGTCCCATAAAGCTCATGATTAAAGTCTACAACGGATTGTTCCTAATTACGGTACCTGCGCCGCGGCATGTATTTCGTCTGTAGACTTATTTCCGTGTCGTAATTTGCCAGTGACGAGCTATTATTTTCTGGCCAGTCAGCCAACGAGAATTAGTCTAACTTGAGAGGAAAATGAATTTGATGCAACTCAGATAGAAGGAGAGCTGCAACACATATTTCCACTTCGAAATGTGTTAGCTCATGTAGACGGGTGTGTAGAAAATAAGGGCTTAGCGATTCGCAAGAACTAGCAAAGCTTCTGAAATCGAAGGGCCCCACGTATCCTATTTTATTCTTTAGTTTTACGAAGAGACGTAGGTGCTTACGGCAGACTCCAGAAAGAATTACTCTTTTTGCATTTATTGCACGACAAGGTATGCGGGCAGGATCTCAGAGCATAAAGTAGTTATTTTAAAGTGTCACTGTAAGCGTTTGCCTCATAGATTTAAAGACCAAACTAGGCACCACTTCGCAACTCGTAAAGTTCGACAAAGGTCCTCAACCAGAGCCTCATACTGAAGGTACTTCTTATTGAATTAGTTAAAAAATGCGCGTTTCGTTATGCAGAGTGTTGGAAATGTTAGGGCCGTCAATTAAAAATGCTGTTCTGTGGAGCCTGAATGCTAAGAAACTGAAGGGAGTGTTGTGCAAAAATGTCTGAAGGAGAGTAATCCACACCCCCGTTGAACGCAAAACGTCCAGACATCCAACGCGAATCCCAAAGCCAGGGAAGTCTTCCTATCACCGAAATCGCCGATAGCAGCCGTGTTGTTAACAACATCGATGACACCTGGAGCATGCCATGTACAGGTTCGTTGGCAAAGCCTCTTGAATCTCATAAAAACTCATCCGCAAACTTGTAATCTCATTTAACCGCCTGAAATGCAAAGCATTACTACTTGTTTTATGAAGCGGTACCCATTGAAACAGTAGCCCACACCTGGATTTTCCTAATACAGACAGTTTACTAGAAAAGTGGAGCCGTCTCTTGGTCAGCAGATAAGTGCGATAGGCGAACAACTAACTGTCGCCTTCGCTTGAGGAGACGGATACGCGTTTTTGGTTACAGTGAGTGCAACATGAACACATATATCCTACAAATTCGCTTGACATTGGACAGACAACTGTCTCTGACCATAGGATTTGCAAACAGGTATTACAGAAAGTGTTTCAGTAAAACAGTTACTGATCTCCGTCCTTCAGGTTCCCGTCCGGTGCTGCAAACAAGTCAGAAAAACACGACAGAAAAATATGTTTGGAAATTCCGCACG